AACACAATTTCAAAGTAAAACTCTAACTTAGAAAAATAAAAATGTGAGAGTGAAATAACCGTAGTTATACCATTATTGCTGTAAAATTGAAAGCAGATTTGCATTTCAAGAAATATCAAATATCAACATTGTAATAGAAAGAAAAATAAAGCTTTTTTTTTGTCTTGTTCCAAGTATTTTGTGCTGTCTGCTTTTATTTGCTCTTTATGCAAACTAAGAACTGCCAAGAAGTCAATCATTTCACAACCCTTCTCTATAAACAGATTTCTTTAAACAAAAGAGCAGATTGCAATAAATAACTGCTATAATCACCCTTCCTCTTCATTTTTATTAGGATTTCTTTATTAATATGTGTATGCTGAACACATCATTTACAGTACAAACTTTACCTATTTTTCTAATCCATTCTTTCCATTGACAGGACTATGCTCACTATTTACAAAACTTCTTTGTAGACATTTTACTTATTTCACAGTTCATTAACCTTCAAACAGCACACCTGCCAGTTTGCAGGTGTGTTATCTAAAGCAATGATACACTAAGTGCTAAAGTATGTTTGTGTCAGAAATGCTTATGAAACAAATGTTTTTCTCCACTGAGCTACCCAGCTGAGTTGAATTTATTTGCATCAATATATAATAAGCTTTTTTCCTGATGCTAAGTGCAGTAGTTGAGCACCAGTCACTGCAAATATGCACAAAAAAGAATCAAACTGTACTGTCTGCCACTTTTTAAAGTATACAAATGGCAGTGTTTAATATGTTTAAATAATTGAAAAGGATCATTCACACTAACTTCTTTCCTTCTGCAGTAACACTACAAGGCTTCATTTAAAAATTAATATCTTTTAACAGCTTTTTCACACAGCAGGGAAAACCTCATCAAGTGTTGTATTCTCCCTTTTAACAATTCTCTGTGGAGCACAGTGACATTTTCAGTTTTCTATAGCTGGACTAGCCTTACATTGGCTCATTTTTATCTGACCTCAGGGTTTTCACATCATTAATAAAGAGATAATCAAAATAAAGGGTATATACATTAGGGTAGGAAAAGTTTGCATAGTTTGGCACTATTATCATATATAACCTTAAAAATGGAACAAAATGAAATGCACGCAGCAGAGGTGGTGAACCTTCTAAGCACTGCTTCCAAACATTTTCCTACTGGCAGTAAACCATTTTCAGACCTCCCAACTCTGGCCACCGTGATAGTTACTGCTGTACAGGGTTTATTTCTTTTTGTTTCAGCTGTCAATAAAAACTTCAAGTGATAGCTTTTTAAGTCAACTAAACATATTTAAATCAAAACAAAACACTGACATCACTGGGACAACAGATACACAGTGCCAAAAGAACACTGTGTTTAGATTCTAGGCTTGTTTACCAATGGTTTAAACTTTCTCACATTATGTCACAAAGTGCCATTGCACCTGAAACCTGATCAAAAGTTCATCAAAAAAATTCAAGTGCCCTCTTATTTCTGAAGATTTGGTATAACACATGTAAGCCAACTAAATCTGCTAGTCATGCCTCAATAGTAGTCCGTTTTCCTCAGGATGAAGATCATAATAACTCTGCTTACACTTCATTTCTTACTGTTGAAACCAGCTGTGTAAGCTAGAGCTCAAACTTAAACTACACTTTTAAAGCAGTAATCTTTTCTGAGCTAATTGTGCTAAGACATCATGAAAATTCCAAACATGAAATTATAACCCCAAAAAATCCATTATACTGAATAACAAACACTGGTAGAATTTGGCAACAAATGGAGGGAAACAAATGAACTTCCAGGGATACATGAACTACAGAAAAACTGTCATTAATATTAACATATTACTTCAAAGCCTCATGCCCTATCAGACCTGGCTTGTGAGAACCATGTAGGTAGGTGGAGGGCTGGCTATCAAGTGGAATCAGGACACTCCAGCAGAGCCAGTATTGCATCCCAGGGGTTAATAATGCATCCAGTCCTGTTCCATGGCATCATTAATGACCTGGATGATGGGGTAGGGTGCAGCCTTAGCAAGTGTGCTGTGGGAAAAACATGAAAAGGGCAGCTGAGACACCAGAGGATCTTGCTGCTGATCAGAGGGACCTTGACAAAGTGGAGAAATGTGCTGACATGAACCTCGTGGAGTTCAGGGAAAGGAAATGTAAAGTCCTGAACCAGGAAAGGAACAACACCAAGCACCTGCATGTGCTGGAGTCCACTCAGCTGGAAAGCAGCTTTGCAGAAAAGGACCTCGGGGTCCTGGTGGTCACGATGGTGAACACCAGCAATGTGGCCCTGCAGGGTCACACTAACAGCACCCTGGGCTCACTAGGAAGGGTACTGCCACAAGGTTTATGGAGGTGATCCCTCTCCTCTATCATCAATGCTCAGGCCACACCTCAGATACCATGTCCAGTTCGGGGCATACTGGAGACAGCCCAGGGAAAGGCCATAAAGAAACTAAAGGATTAATTAAGGGCTTTATTAAAGCATTGAAACATCTCTCATATGACAAAAGCCTGAGAGAGCTGAACTGTTTAGCCTAGAGAAGTGAATAGGGTGTCTTATCACTGCGTATAAGTGTCTGAAGGAAGGCTGTAAAGGTGGAACCAGACTCTTCAGCGGTGCCCAGTGAGAGGACAAGATGCAATGGGCACAAAGTGAAACCCAGGGGGTTCCCTCTGAACATTGGAAGCACTCACGCTGACCCATATGGCCCAAAGAGGTTGTAGAGTCCACCAGCCAAAGAGGTGTTAATGCCTTGAGATATTCAAGAGATATCTGGATATGGTCCTGGACAGCTGGCTCTAGGTGGCCCTGCTCGAGGAGGGATGTTGGACCAGATGAGCTCCAGAGCTCCCTTCCACCCTGAACCTTTACATGATTCTGTGAACCACATCCCACTCCATCATACACAGCTGCTTCAGCAAAACCTGAGGATAACCTGCAGAGTATCATTAAGCTAAATAATAATAAAAGGCTTCTTTATGAAATAACTGAGAGCCTGTGGAGGGTTTCTTTTATTACAGGATTTACTATGCTAATTTAATTACAACAAGGTGATTACAAAGTAATCCTATTTAGGCAGGAAGTTGACACTGCAACTTTGAATACCTTACTCAGCACAGGATTAGAACTGCCTTTTGATGGTTACTTTCACCTCCAGAAAGAAGCACTTCAAGGCAAGTTATAAACATGTTTTAGGACACAAAATTGTACAAAAACTATTCTAAAAAGAGACAATGTAGACACGGAGGAAGAAAGGAGTGTGGCTTAATGCAGGCCCAAATGTTATTAGCTTTCCTCATCTGGGAATGACCAACAACAATAGCTTGTACAGTACAGAATTCCTTCCCTAATGACTTCCACCTGCTGGAGGGCTGCCATTTGCCCTGCATCCCCCTGCAGCTGCTTTCCCATCTGCTGCTGGAAGCCATTGCCCTCCCTTTAGATAAGACCTGAGGCCTGGAGATGGATGATACAGCTGCTCTAAGCAACCAAAATCTTTTCCCAATTCGCAGAAAACCAGACCTGCTGTGTCTAGAAGCACTGCTGGATTGCTACCACAGCACAGTCTAGGCCTGATCATGTAAAAGGTTCAAGCTCAACAGCCATGTGCAGAAACTGAGAAGAGGAATTAGATACCTGGCAAAAGACAATTGTTTCTCCACCAGGACTGCACAATCCCAGCAGCCCTTCATCAAGAACACTGTGATTCAGTTCTTTGTAACATCTTTGGCCCATCAGCCAGCAGGAAGATTGTAACACACTGAATACAAACCCTGATAAGGGATTAGGAAGTCAAATCGGTGGAGAACCAGTGGAATTCATCACCATCCTCAGCAGTGTGACAGGTTTGCACAGCCCAGGATTTAACATACACAATCTTTCCTACTCAAATGCTAAACTGAGGTCACGGAAATTGCTGGAGTTTTTATCCTTGTTCTGTTATGATTATTTTGTATTATACACATATGCTGGTTGGCCCATTAAACACAAGCTAGAAATTCCAGATTTCATCTGTATCTTCTTAGCATGCAGAGCACAAGACATACAGCAAAAAGGGATGACCAGAATCTTAGAAATATTTATTTCCTGCTTCTACAAGAAGGATGAGTTTAAGTAATTTTTTTTTCCTAGAGTTTTACTAGCCAAACATTTGAAACATTCTATAAGATCCCTGTATACCTTAAATAATATACTTCTCTGAATAGAAACTATTTACACTGTACAACTAAATGCCACAGGTATTTGTTTCCTGAAAGAAGCAAACACATTACAAATAAAATCAAGATGCTTTAATAGCAATCAATCTAATCAGTATTGTGTGCTCCAAGCCTATGAAGTTTTTCATAACACCAGGAAAATAGTTAATGGACATTTTAAACACTGGACTTACACATTCCCTTAAATGTGACAACCATCTCAAATGGGTATTCCATTACTCATATTTTTATGGTCTGATTTTGTAGATGAATAAATAATTAGTACACTGCTCTGTTTTAAAGAATGAAATTATTCATATTTTAAAGTACACATTGACTGCACTTAAAAGAAATAACCAGAGATTAATAATGTGCACTTTTTAGCAGATCCCTTAAAACTAAATCAGTAGCTTCACCCTTCAGAACAGAAATACACAGAAGAAACACCAACCAGAGCAACCAAAAGAGCAGCTCAGTCACCAAACAGATGAGGAAACAGGTCATGATATCACAACATTCAAGTCATTAAGGTCGACTTCCCCCCATTGAAGCCTATGAGAATTAGGCACAAACATTTCATTAAAAGGCAATCATTAGCACTTCTAAAAAAGTTCTAGAATGAGAGCTGATGTACTACCAAAATTATATATACATCAAATACATTGGCATTTAAATTGCTTTAAATTATTTATTATTCTTTAACAACTTTCCTGCCACACAGACTTGAATCAAACACATCAAAACCTTGATACTGGCCATGAACTCAGTATTTCTATTGCATTTCAGGATTAGGAGATACAATACCTCTGTCTGAAGTATGGCAGCTCTCTGTTCTTTGGCAGTAAGGGACTCTTTAAGCACTTCAATGTGTTGCTTGCAATCTGAATTCTGATTGCTGAGGGTTTCAAGCTTAGTTTGTAAGGCAAGAAGTTCTGATTCTTTCTTTGAGAGTTCTTGTTTCAGTTGATCAATCTGCAGTGGGGGGAAAAAGTTAGGTCATTAATTTTGTCTCCAACTCATAGCTCTGCTGGAAATCTGAAAGGTGTGAATGACCATGATATAATAAATCAGACACCTGTGAATTCTGGAAGAGAATTAAGGTTCAGACTTTTTACACTCACACTTTGAATTTTGTTTCTTGCAATTTAATGCACTCTGTCTTAAGAATGAATGCCCTGTTGTTGCTGAAGTTAAAAGGAAACTCCTAAAGATTATACCTGATGATTTGGCCTATAAATTCACCACGGACCTCACTTAAGTTCAAAGGCATGTATCCCATGTGAGGCAAGTCTGGCAGGACAGCAAAAATGCATAGGAAAAAAAGTGTTCATAAAAGTATAAATTCAATCTTTCCAATAGCATGATTCCCATGACTTATCATTGGCCAGAGAGAATCAGGAATTTTTTAGGAGTCTGACAAAGAAAAACCAGGCATCTCAGAAAGGAGAGGAAAACAAAATAGTGGACTTTTAACCTTACTCCTCTTGCAAATTCGTTGCTGCCTACCATCCCCACCTCCTATTTTTCTCCCTGGCAGTTCACATGGAATTCTCAGGTAGTAGAAAAACCAAGCCAAGAAGACTAACTGAAGAGAAGTCTGGGGAAAACATTATAAAAAAGTTCCACACAATGAAAGGGCTGAGAGATTATAAAAGCTTCTCCCAGAGGAAACAGCAGAAATACAATACTAAGACAGAGCTTCTGAATTTAAGTGAATTTAAGGTTCATCAGTAAATGTCATGGAATTGTGATTACCCTCCTCTTTCCACAATGATAAATGGGAAGAATAGCCACAGAACACAAAATTGTAGTGGATTTAAAATATATGAATCAGAGCAAAGCACTGGACTATATACAGAACTATTTGTATAGGTGAAAGGATGGTGAATTAGGTGGCATATAGCTACTCCTAAATTCTTGTGGTATAACACTGGCCACCAGATGAATCCAGATCATCTCATGAGAACTATTTGAAATAAAATGCCTCACTGCATCTGCATAACTCAGAGAAATCACTTCCTTTATATGAACAGCTCTTTTCTATGTCCCAACAGACATTTGGGATACAAGAAACCGAGAAGTGGTAGATGGAAGATGATTCAAAAATCCCCAGGAAAAAAAAAAATATCCATGAGTTGATCCTACTCAACCACATTCCAAAGATTCACATACTAAAACATTTCACAAATTCAGTGTTGTATGGGACGGGAAATACTCGCTGCTGATAAAAATACTTCTATTTTGTTTTACATTGCAAGTGCTTATTCATTGTCCATTACAAATTAAATTAAAAAACAATGATTCTTCCAACTACAGTCTATATGCATGTCTTAATAGATTTATTCCTTATTTCTTTGTATAAATCCCAGTACATTTCCATTGTTGTTTAAGGCACTCAGAACGTCACCCATGAGCTCCTGCATGAATTCAAGAATCTACCCTGGCAATAAAAAAAATCACCTTTATCAAAATAAGGAAAGAAGCATACAGAAAACAGGCATGAGGAAAGAATACAACTAAAAGCTGCTAAAGAAACCTTTCTCTGGAATGCAAAACCACCCTCCTCCATCACTTGCCAGAGCATGTAAGCAAGTATGGCAACCAAGAGAAAATGGATAGGAAATGAAGCAATGGGAAAATCTGTCTATGAGACACACAGACAAAACTAGGTAGGTCTGCAGCCAATCTGAGTTACATCATAGGCTTTATATGAGACAGACACAAACATCACAGATGCTTCATCTCTTCTAGAAACTCTTCCCCCTTCTCTCCATGACACAACCCACACCAGAGAAATAATAAAAAAAAATTAAAAGGCATTGCTTTCGTTGCAGGTGTGCTCTTTGTGTTTAAGAGACAGAATCTGTTTAGTGTAAAGTTCTGGTGACAAGATCTACAAATTGTCAGAAGTTTGAAAATGTGTCACAGCTCGCAAATAAAAACAAAAAAAATAAGAGTTAAAACACAAACCAAACACAAAATGATTGTTGAATAATATTTATTTGCTAATGTCTTTTTAAAATAAAGTATCATGGTGAAAAAGTACTAAAATTCCCATTTAAAAATTTTAAAAACTGTGACAAAAATAGAGAGGTATAATAAAAAATTATAAAACTTAAATATGAAGAAATTTTAGGCATGGGTATCCTCATTTTTTAAATTTCTGCAGTATCTCAGTGTGTGAAAAAACTAATTAAACATGACATGAAATAGATTGCTGCCTCTAGCAGATATGCAAACATTTTTGCTGTATCTCAAGTGATGTGGAAGACCAACTGTCATGATTCAATGAAACCCCATTATCTCATGTAATACAACAAAAACATTTTTATACTTTATAAGGACTAAGATGAAGTTAACCTTCAAGTGCTATAGCGTCCTATAAGTGCCGGAGCATAAAAAAACTCCAAGTTTGTCCTCTGACCTTCCCACTATCTGACATATTTCATGTGTGCAATTTGCCTATCACAGCTTTTTCAACATTCCCCAATATGATCTTGCTTCACCTCCTTTCCTGAAACCCTAATTCATTTTTCTTCCTTTTCAATTTACTGTCACCTCCCATAATTTCAGTTCTTTAGAACCCATTAATTTTCCATTTCCAGAAAACCATTATGGGTGTTGTTCTGTTATTTTTACACACCAAATTCTTGCATGACATTATGCAGAGTAACCAGAAAACAAAGGGGAAAAAAAATCAGAGCTTTTCCTCCCAATGTTGCATATTAAAATTAATGGACTAAATCTTTAAGTAAATAATACTGTTAAATGAATCTATGCTGATTAATGCATCAAAGGATTTGATCTGATGCAACAAATGACAACTGCTTTTTAAAGTGAGGGATTTAAGAGAAGGAAAAGGAGTAGCAGTGCCAATGATGTGCCTCCATACAGTAGACTCTACAAGTCTATCAGATTCTGCAGATTATGTTGGTAAAGGTCTGGTTTTAAACTGGTTGTTAAATTTCCAGGCCTACCCAAAATGAAACCAAAAACCTGCAGTTCTTTCCCTGTTTCCTGTTTTGGTTTTTAGTGTTTTGGGTTGTTTTTTTTCCTACAGTATCTCCTAGAACTTGCATGCCTGCTTCATTCAGTATGGAAAGCTCTTACATGCAGACATTAATCACAGAGCACCTTATTACTGCTTTATCAAAACTCATCTTACTGGTAATTTGGTGAAATTGTACTAATCCACCACTAGATTTTCATACCCATTCCAGTGGATAGCATGAGAGTTCTAATACTTAAAGGATTACTTAATGCCAAGGCCAAAGTTACACCTGAAAAAAAATGCATCTGTGTATATTTAACTACGTGGTTCAGAGCCAAAGGATGAAGTCTTCCAAAGCAGAAATTATTATTAAAAGTATGTATCATCCTATATATTTTATTCATATTCTCAATTAAGATATTTGAAGGTGCAGATCTCTTGGTCATATAATCTTTAAGACCTGTTTTGACAATTTCTATATTATGTGAGTAATTACAAGTTTTCTCCCTTCAAAAACTGAGCAAGGAGAGGCCTTATCAAGTGGGCAAGAAAAAGAAATCTGAGCAAGTTTTCTTTCTCATTTTTATAATTTTATTTAACTGCAAGTCACAATTAAAGCCTATATATTTGGAAGGAGTGAATATCACTAAGAGATAGTTAAGAAAATAAACACTTCCAGACATTTTCTACCACTCATGTAAATAAATTATATTTTCATTATTTGCCTTCATTTAACACTTTCCCATTTATTTAAATCACAAACAGATTGAAAACAAGTTATGCTTCAAGAATAAATGAAAAGCATTAAGAGCTTCAAGCACCTCAGAAGAGTTTTGTACTGTTCTTTGCCATCAATCCTGTTTATCAGAATTTATCAATGATCTCAGGTTCCACAGATCAGTTCCAGCATGATCTGTTTGTTGACAAATCCATAAATACTTTTCCACCTTGAAAGGTTCTTTAATGAGTGAAAAAAATGTCATCTCCTGCTGTAAATCTTAATTTCAAGTGGAAGAAAAAGACCAGAGAAATAAAACAGCCAAAGCTTCATCAGAATGTGGCATTTATCAAAGATCAGAAGGCTGTGACAAAACAAGGCATATTTAACACACTCCTCATTCACCTACTTTCCATGCTACAGAAATAAACTGAAGCTTTTCCTCAAAACAATGTCAGGAGATTGTTAAAGTTCTAGGCTTTGTACCTTATTTTTATATCAACAGGTTTGTTGACATGCATTGGGAATTCTGCTGTAAGCCACTAAAATTGAATTGAAATTAATGATATTTAGGTTAGCAAAATAATTTTCCTGATGATAATGCCACATAGGAGCCTTAGTTATTTTTCAGTAGCTTAAGAGCTACCTTTGTTCCAAAAGAAAAAATATGTTCTTTGATTATTATTTTTTCTTAATAAATCTAGATTAATTCCATATGGGCACTAACACTTTCATTTCTTCTGTAGCAAAAACCCTCAAACAATGAACAAGCAATAATGTTTTGTGAGTTTGAAACCAGGAAATGTGTCACATCACTACATATTTACTACCTGCCCGTGGTCAACTCCTAATAGTCTATGTACAGTAATTTGAAATTAAAGGAACAAAGTCATTAAATTGCTAGACTTACAAATATGAGCAGAGTACAATTTGGTACCAGCTGTGAAACAGAAGTGCTTACTGCAAAACTACATCAAAAGCTAAAATCAAATAATTTTCATTTATTCAAAATGCTTTACTCCTTCATGTCCACTGATTATTATATAGTAGAGATTTACCAAAAGGAGACATGCAGCTTCTTGCATAGGAAATGGTCATGTCAAAACTTTCCTTTCCATTATTTAAACAGTCTTAATCTCTTTTATAAATAGATCTTACCTTATTTTTCATGAACTTTGAGTGACTCTTGTAAACTTCTATTTGTTTGATTTCTTCTTCTCGGTCCTCTGTATTCAGAACTCCATTTGTCTTTAACATCTGTATTTCATCTTCAAGATCTCTTATATTGCGCTCAAGTGAAGCTATTTTTGTATCCTAAGTTACAAAAAAAGGAGTATTGAAAATTATATGAGACAATATTAAAGAGTAACAGAAGCATATCTGTACTTGAGTGAATACCAAATAATGAGATAGCAAAAATAGATGGTACAAATAGAGAATGCACATAAACCAGGAATAATTCTATAGGTTTTAGCTTAAAGAAATGCAGAATTCAGACCAGACCTCCTTCACCATTGTTGCACAGACTGTAGAAAACACATACTGGTCAAAATTCCATTTAATTCCTACACAGGGATGAAGGGAAAATAGCAGATTCCCCATTTTTCCACGTATGTATGATAACAAAGCTTGTTATCACTAGAAACCATCTAGGCCTGGCTATTCTTCCCAGCCCTTAAACACCAAGTTTAGCCTAGAGACAGCAGTCCCTGTCTCTGCAGGGCAAAGGCCACTTCGTTGTGTGGCTCAGCCTGAGGCTCAGGTCCCTGCTGCTCTGGAGCTCTGCCTGCTCTCAAGAGGGAGAAATGTTGTGTGCTCACATATTTTTCCTTGACTAATCTAGCCACATCACTAAGAGGGGATTTAGCACTTTTTATTGTGAGTCCCAAGATAAACAAAACCACAACCACTAAAAATTTCTGCATCCCAGCCAATGACTGCCACATGTGCCAGCACAGTGAAGGTTTTTTTGTTATTTCCAGTCATTTAGAAATTGGCTAAGTCCCATTTGTGAGAGTTAGAAAGATTACAAAAGTGATTACACAAACTTGTCACAATTTTCTGTTTGAAAGAACATTGCAGAATTACTCATTAGGAAATCTCTTCAACAACTTAAAGGATCAACCTCCCATAAAATATCAAAGACTGGATGAAGTTCTTGTTCCATTGTGATCAATATTAAATGAAAGAAAGAGATAAAAAAATAAAATTAAATAAAAACCCACCACAAAACAAACCAAGCTGATTCACTAAGACCAGGTTATTCAGTTAGAAGGCTAATTTGGGAAAAAAATACAAATTGAATTGATCTTTTCACAAGGACAAGCTAAGCTTGAATAACTGCAACTTTTTTCCTCTTGCTTTCTTTTAGATTGCCTAATAAGAAGCAAAAACTCCAACTCCTGTAATAACTGCTTTCATAATAAAGCTAGGCAAGTGTAGCAATTTAAGACATGGGAGAGCCTGGATGAAGTTCCAAAAAGCATCTGAATTTTTGGTACTGAAGTACTGAAATAGAATCTCAAATTATTTTTGAAGACCACTGTTATAAATCCATATAGAACAAAAGCTAAGGACTAAGCAACGTCATTTACACGGCCTACTGTCACTCCTCTAACATTTTTGCTTTTATCTTTATAGTGAACAATAAATCTCAAACTATGAGAAGTTTTTTTATTATTATTTTCTCATTCCAGCAAAAATTAATGTTAAAATTAATTTCAATTCTAAAACAGGGAAGTAAAATATTGAGATAGAATTAAAAATTTGAAAAATTCTCATTTAATCTTATAATTTAAAGAAATTGCACAAAAGGCAAAACACTGCAAGAAAAGATACAGAAGTATTGAAAAGCTCTCAAGACTTAAAAACAACACAAAAAATAATTGTAGATGTCACAGATACTATAATCAATTCAGCTTGGTCCATTAGACTTCATTTCAGAAATATTCTCCTCCTATTTTTAAAGATAAAAGCAAAACCTAAGCTTCACTACACTTTGGAATGATTTTGCAATGAAATATATTAATACTTACATGCCCTGTTATGACATGGCATCTGGGAATAGTCTTCATCAAACCTCCCCACCTCAGTCTATAAGAGTCTGCCTTTTTGTGCTGCCTTTGTGTTTTATGTGTTTGCAAATATAATATGGCAGAAACAACTTTTAGCACAGTCTGCTACACTCTTTAGAAGTTTTATACATCACAGAATAACATTTAAGCTCTATGAGAAATATCTAAAGTAACGTGTGGAAGCATTTTCTGTACTTCTGCTTCATCAAAAAATTGAAATCTCAGAGGAAAAGTTTATTTTTAATCAATCTCTGCATATTGTGATTAGAGATGGGTATTCTCCTATCTCATGAAAAACTGTCACTAAGTTTTACATTAACTTTTTATTGAAACAGAAGTCAGAAATTTCACAGATTTTGTGAATGTCAAAGGTACTGTTCCCTATTGCATGCTGGCTTGCCCAGGAAAAGCCTTACAGGTTTCCTGCCTGAACAACAGCTGCAAAATGAGGAACTTTGTAGGTCAAAAATAACACAGAGAGCCCAGAGGTCCCAGTGGGTGCTGCCACACAGGAGCTGGGCTGACTTACAGGGTACATAGAAAGTTAGGTAGCTTTGCATTTGCCAAAAGTTTTGAGACATTCCCATAAAAATCTTCTGATTCAGCTGAATCAGCATTTTCCCACATAAAATTTCAATTGGAAAACTTTCAACCAGTCTTGTTGGGGCACAGACTCTGGCAAGCTTTCAGAAACTGAAATGGGAACAGATGCAGATTTCCTTCAAACCTCTAAGATTTATCCCCATTAGCAACATTCTAAAAAACTACATGGGTCTGTGTTGAATCACAACGAAGATTCCTTTGCAATAATATTAAGGAAGCAGCTTAGTATTAAATGGTACTAATAAACATCTTCTGCTCTGAAACAATACAGCATTTGTTCTGATTTTTTCAGTCAGACCCTCTAAATCTGTTAAAAGACATAAGATCATGTAGCAGGACTTGTGATAGAGATCGGGGCACTCACCCTAATCTATCCCCTCCTTCCAGCAGTAACCAATACTTCTTCCTTATCTCCTTTATTAGAATAGTGCTGCAGATATTCTGTGAGAGGTTAGGGCTATTTAGGTTTCTGCTGGCTGGACCTAGGAGAAACCCACCTCTTTTGGAATGTAAAAAAATTAGTAAAATAATATTTCACAATGGAAAAAGACTAACAAGTGAGTTTCCACAATGATGTTTCACAAATCATATCAGTCTTTACAAGAGTCCTACAGTACATTTCCTGAAAACTGAGGGGCAGGAAAAGGGCAAATCATTTGTAAATAACCACAGAATCACAGAATATTCTGAGCTGGAAGGGACCCACAAGGATCATCAAGTCCAACCCTATATAATACAGCATTCCAGCCTGTCTTACTCTGAAAGGAAAAGTAAGGAAATGCTACTGTTCATCATTTGAGATACATAATAAATTTAAATTATGTCTGCAAAATTTTGCTCATAGGGCATTCAACAAGCAATCAGAAGGAAATATTTGAAACTTCACATTTAATAAAGCTTGAATTTAAACACACTTATGTACACAGGCTGTCAACAGACCATACACAACTACCCTTATTGTATGAACTTTTACTTTGTCACTTTAATGCAGAGAATATTCAGGTTTATCCTTGAAGATAAGGGAAGTTAAAGTTCATGCAATCTTAAGAATAGAGTATGTTGCACTGCAAACTCACATACACACTCCTCTAGAACCAAACCCATACCTGAAATATCACAGCTGGATCAACACATAAAGATGGCTCTTTCTGCAAGTAAGGTAAACCACAAATATTTTCATTTACTTTACAGCTTACATTTATAAAGACTTTATAGTTGCTACACTCCACATATTTTTCAATATCCTATCGTTAAGATAAATTCTAGGCCATACCTGTAGGCAATTCCTGATTTTCTCTCCCAAGTAATATCACTGTTTTAGTGACGATAGAATTAGGCCATAGCAACATGTAATGGCTGCGTTGGAAGCAGCATTTAAAGGTCACCTAATCCAACCCCTGCCATGGACAGGGACACCTTCCGCTCTCCCAGGTTGCTCCAAGCCCCATCTAACGTTGCTGGGAACACCCTCAGGGAAGGGACAACTACAGCCTCTCTGGGCAACCTGTGCCAGGGCCTCACCACACTCATCATAAAATTACTTTTCTTCATATGTCCAATCTAAATTTATCTTTTTTCAGTTTAAAACTGTTGTTCTTTGTCATGTCACAACAGGCTCTACTGAAAGGTCTGTCCCCATCTTTCTTATCTTCCCCCTTTCAGTACTGAGAAGGCTCCCAGGCCACTGAGGAGCCTTCTCTTCTGTTCAGCCCCAGCACTGCCAGCCTGGAGCTGCTCCAGCCCTCTGATCATTGCTGTTCCTCTCCTCTGCACCTGCTCCAGCCCTCTGATCATTGCTGTTCCTCTCCTCTGCACCTGCTCCATCTCCTCTGCACCTGCTCCAACTTCCCCATGGCTTCTCTGTCCCGTGAAGCCCAGAACAGAAGGCAGCACTCCAGCTGGGGCATCACCAGAGAAGAGCAAGTTTCGACCCAATCCACATGCTCAGGAGTATTTATCATAAAATCAAGTGAAAAGTGTGTTTCCTTTTAATCTTTTTTATTATACTAATAGGTGTTAATCAATATTGAATATCACTGATATTCAGAATACACTCAAAGATATCAGTCATCTGGCATTTGCAAAATATGCAAGGAACCATGCAGAGGTGTAATTGCAATTAAAGGAAAGGATTTCTATGTACCACTTTTATTTTACACTTAAATGGACTAATATTTAGGTTTGAGGGGAAAAAATGCAGTTTAATCACATATATCCAAAGTCACAAAGTCAATAGCAGCCACTGCATCAAAACTAGACCAGTCTGAGGGAATAATAGGATCATGTGGGAGAGGGAAGCATCCTGTCCTCCCTTAGTTTTGTGACTCCACTTTCCAAGAAAAATGGCTTCTGGAGAATAAGATCAATTTCAGAAAAGAGAATTGAGTAAAGAGTGTAGTGAGAAAAATATAGAGCAAAAGACACGGGATGTCTGGAAGCAAATGTGTCCATGAAGCAAAACCAGAAAGTTAGGAAAGAACAGCCTGTGCAATGCATCTGAAAAAAACAATAGATATCTGGAAAGGAATAAATAAGGCAAGAAAAACAGGAGTCAAGGCATAGGATGTGAATTTTCCATCTTTTTTTGCTTGTCCTTTTTTTATTTTGCATGAATATACAGGAGATAAACACTGGTCAACAAGACAGCAGTTATGCAGAAAATGCAATTGCTGTAAGAATAAGCAATTACTTGCAAAGCTTTAGAGAGAAATTAAGAAGATGACAGGACACAGTACAGAAGATGTGTAGGATAAATAAACAAAGGAGAGGATAGGTAAGAGAAAGGGGAATATTTGATTGGATGAAAGGGAGTACAGGCTGGGAAAAGGGACAGAAAGAATTCAGCAGTGGCAAGGAGCAGAAGAAAACCACAGAGAGAATAGAAGGATTTATGAAGGAGGGAAAGCTGCATCCTAGCAGAGCCTGGGGGAGCCATGGAAGGCACTCAGACAAAAGCTAAACTGGTGAGGGGCTGGAAAGGGCTGGGTGTGGTGAACAGAAATGTAAACTGCTTGGAGTCTCTGTATGGGGGAGTGGATGGCCTGAGTCTGCCATATTACAGCTAATCCTCTCCCTCCTTCTACCCTCAACATTGTAGGGAAACAATTCCTTCAATGCTTGATCATTCAAAACAAATGTCTCACATTTTTTTTCAAAACAAATGCTGTCTGGATTAAGACAAATTTACTTGAAAACATTCCAAATCTGGAACTTGTAATGAAAATTGCTGTTTAATCATGTGGATTTCAACATCTTACATTTGTCCCTTTTTCTTTTCAGTATTAGGATTAATTTAGACAGCCCTAAAGGGGTGTGTGCTCATAGGGACAGAAAGAACTGGGTGCCTCAGAGGCAAAAAGCAGCTTTGGATCAGTACTCCAGCAACAGGACTGCAGCCTCACTCCCAACAAACAAAAGCCCTCAGTACAAAGAACTGACTTTTGAAAGTGGAACATTGTACCACACCCACCTCTCCTGGGAATAAAACAGAAAACACTTCAGTGTCCTCAGGGACAGACACTGTCAGGAGCAACTACAGACATCACGTCCTGTACCCCACATCCCTGTTCTTCTCAAATACTTTTGGTACAGGAACTGAAAATTAATTTCAATTGCATTGTTATAAAATGCACATAAAAAGTTATACATTGTTCTAACACATTGCTTTTGTAACCCAGAACTTTTGAATTTATAATTCTGAATATTAGTAGAAAAACAAAGTTTCTCAGCCAGTATCTTACTTTCCTATTTACTTAGGGTAATGAGTTACTGCAAAAACATAGATTTCATAAAAAAGACTTCTGAACTAATGTCCAAAGCAAATACACATCTAAAACTGGAGTTCTATAATCAATGTACCCTCTTTGTTACTCACATAATCCAAACTAATTATTATCTATTAAAAGACAGATACTGTATTTATAAAGTCCTGCTGTTGTTTTAACTGTGTGTTTACCACAATGTTCAGACATGCTGAACTCATTTTCTCACAACAGAAGTCACAGGCAAAATGAGGCCTTTAATTTGCACTTCCTTTTAAGACTGAAATGAAAGACCATCATTAATGAATTTCAGGCAGCGTTGCCAACTCACAAATTATCTCAAGTCTCGTGGTATTTCTCTTAAAGATGAACATTCCAAACTCATACAATTATGCAAAAATATCAGTTTTTACTTTTTAAAATACTATTTTGATTCTTTGTTATTGTGGAGGGAAAATCCACAACAATTTAATAATACTATATATCAAAAAGAGTAAGCTAGAGTCAGGACTAAGAGACGTGTTTCATCACATTTTGTCATATCTGCTGATGAAACTAGTATTTTCTTTAGGTTGGCTGTAAAATTATGGCCTAAAAACAACCAACAAAAGAAATGGTTTTAAAGTTTGAGGAGGAAAACATTTTACATTAGGCAGTTTATTCCATGCACTTTGTATCTCCTAAATCATGCACATACACACACCCCCCAGTCTTTTTAAAAAGCAATATTCTGTTCTCATTATTCAGCAATGCTACACTTTATTTTCTTTTAATCGATTTTATTTAGAAAACAGACCAGGAGAAATAAATACTAAATATTACTAGCTACATAACAAAACTAAATGACATGGTAAAGGAAGCATTTGATAACTAAAGAGTAAAAGTCATAAATCAACAGCTGGTAGGCAGCTGAGTGTCACAGCTGCTTGTTCACTCCTCCTCAGAGGGACGGGGGAGAGAACAGAGGAGAAAAGTGGGAAAACCCATTGTTTGAAATAAAGCCAGTGTAATGTGTAAAGCAAAGCTGTGCATGCAAGCAAAGCAACATATGGAATTCATGCACTCCTTCCTTCCCATGGGCAGGTAGGTGCCTGGCTGTTTTCAGGAGAGCAGGGCTTCATCAGGCACAAGAGTTATTTGGGAAGACAAATGCCGTGACTCTGAATGTCCTGCCTTCAGTTTGCAGAGGCTGAGCATGACACGACAGTATGGATTATCCCTCTGGTGAATTTGGGTCAGCTGTCCCTGCTCTGCTCCCTCCCTGCCCCTTGCCCACCCCCACCCCACTTGCAGGGCGAGAAACTGGGAAAGCTTTGACTCTTTGTAAGCCCTGTTGGACAACAGCTAAAACATCAATGTGTTATCAACACTGTTTTCAGTCTGACATTCAAAACACAGCACCACACAGGCTGCTACAGGGAAAATTAACTCTGTCCCAGCCATACCCAGTACACAGCTTCAAGCTGTAAAAACAACACAGGGAAACATGCAAAGACCATACCTTCATTTCAATGACTGTTTGCAGAGCCTTCGTCTTTGCTGGCTCAGGCTGAAGTTGGGTTCTTCTATGCAATTCCTGTGGAGGGACACGATAGAAATAAGCTTGACGACTCATCTTTCCATTATTTTAACTGCTCACGTGAACTAATTGCAACAAAATAAAAGTCTGATGACAAGAAGCAGGTAATGCCAAGTGCTACAGGTGCTTCCCTGGCTGTAACCCCTCTGCCATCACTGCACTCCCTATCTTATGTTACAGTCAACTCTGACAGCACATGCGCTATTTCTGAAACCCCTTATCAATAATTAACGTCAAGTGTGACAACACAGCCAGGAATTTCTTAGTCCAGATACAGTGCTGCTGCTGCTTAAACACCCAAACTTTATTCAATTGTGTTACTAATTCAAAGACTGGCAAGTGTTAAATCCTTTTCTGCAGTTTCTCTCTAATTTTTCCTCTAATGTCTTAAATAAGAAATTCAAACACATTATATTCAAATTTGACATTTTAAGGATAATAATTATGTAGTGGGCTGATGCAGCACACGCTACAGTAACATTTCCATTTCAGTTTTCACATTTTCATACTGTTTTTTATGCATCTTAATACACAGGCAAAAGAAAAATGGATTGCGTTATTAAAGACAAAGTTAACAGTACCAATACATACTGGTCTTTATAAAAACAACAATTTAAAAAACCCCAAGAGTAGGAAGACAGCAGCAGTCAGTCTCATGAAACCAGAGTTGTATCTTTCTATGATACATCCCAACAAAAAACTCACATAATTACTCGGAAAAAATGTAGCAAAGGTGTGACAAAACACTTAAATTTGAGTATTTGGTGATGATCCTTATTCCCTTCCCATAAACCATCTGAGAAGTTTATTAATAAAAAAGCCTGAAACAGGACAGATAAAGTCCCATTTCTACTCCTTTGGAGTCCTGCCCTAAAGGACAGGAGTGCCATCCTTGATGTCTTTATGTCCCAGTTCTTTCTACTGCAGTGCTCCACATGTACTCCTGAAATAACCTTCTAGCCATGAGAAAGACATTTATGCTTGAGGCCAAGGAGCCAAGGTCATTCACCTAGGTCTTGCCTACCTTGCAACCCACAAGTTTAAAAGTCATAATTTTTTGTGTCACAAACTATCAGTTTCTTCTTCTGTGTAGCAACAAACAAACTGCTTATCCATGACTGTGAGAAACAACTGTTTTCAAAGACTAAGTAGTAGATTAAATATATTGCAGGTACATGTACATATATTTAAACTACAGATAACAGAGAATTATAATTTTGCTTTCATGCATTTTTCAGATGCTTAGGCATTTATGATTTTTTTTCCGCGTTTATTAAATAGTAGCTTTGATTCGACCTTTTTCCTCGGTTATTTTGTTTCTTTAATTTAAATGCAACTCTCCATATAATAAAAAGAAAGAAATCTTTGCAATTCACCTATGCAAGGAATCTCTCAATCAACACCAGCCATTTGTCTCAGATGAAATAAGTACTTTCACTGCACAAATGTTTTAAAAAATAAGACTATGTAATGAATTTGTCATACAGTTACACAAAAGAATAGTTGGCCAGTCATACCAGTATCAGATCAGCAAAAATTACAGCTAATTCTAAGACCAGACTTTGCTCCCCAGGGCCATATAAACTGAGCTGGAATATAAACAAGATTCCACACATTGCCCAGGGAGACAAACCAGAGTTTCCACCCCCTTAGCCAAAGATGCATAGACTGCCAAAGATGCGTATTCCGAGATGTCTATCATAGCATGAAGCCTTGCCTCATAATGCTTTTCCTGTTTGCTTTATGAATCAATCTGATGCTGGCTGACTTAAAAGCTTTTCTTCTCTATTCCTGGTGGTAAAATGAAGCAGACTTTAGGATTCTGGAGAAGATCAGAAAATGACTCCCACTTTATTATTTTCTGTGGGTTTTCTTCCAATCAGATTCAAATGTTCAGAGACTCCCACAAGGCTCAGTTCTTGAATTTATGTTGTTCGATGTATGAGCTTTTTCATGTAGGGTACCTGGTTCAGGGGTATACTTTTGGGGTACTAATTTAAGGATATACTTTATGTGCATAATACCTCACCCTGATTGTTTTACTGTCTGAGGTCATCTGGAGGCTTTCAAATTTGCCTGAACAGCTAAGCAAGACATATTCTAGAGATTTCAGAAAGTTCTCATAGCCTAAGGAAACCAGATTTTTATCCATTACATCATTTCTGGAATGATGTGTATTTTTTGTTTTCAAATTCTTTTAATAAATAGTCCAGGAAGACAAATAAGAAAATGAGGGGGAAAAAATCAAAAACTTACCAGAGACAGTTTATTTTAACCTAAACTGTACTGAAGGGAACTCTTGATTCTTATATTCATAAAAAAAATTTCTTGTATCATTATCTCTGCAACAACCAAGGACTATACTAAAAATCTCTCAAAGATGCAACCATTTATAAAATTAGATTTTCTTTATATCCCTCTATATGACACCTGCAAATAGTAGTAATTCTGAGTAACCACTTTGCACATGTAAATTAATTATATTGCTGTGTAGCCAAATGCCCACACCTCATATTTCCTGATGATGCTTAGTTGTCAAGGTGATTAACATACCCACACAAAACTGGCAGGTAGTCAGATCTTCTTCACATTAAATTTACTTTAATAGTCTTTGCTTTTAGGCTAAGATGAACCTCAATCCAAACTTGGCCATTGCTTTCTCCTTCCACAATATTAGGTTAGCATCTTGCATTGGCCTCAGAAGTAACTTTAGCACACAGTCTTACCACTAACTTAAACTATCACAGGTATTTGAACTCTGGGAAAGCCTGTTGAAGAAATTTTGTCAAATTCCAACAAATTTTATAGCTTGAAATGAATATGAAAGAAATTGCATTAATCAGGGACCACCACCACACTATAAAACAAAGGTCAGTAGTCTATCGTGAAAGACAAGTCCAGCAATAATCTCAATGGCCACAGTACTACTCTTGAACAATGAGTCTAACACCATCCCTGGCCTATATTAGAAAACTTGGAGATGTAAAGAAGAGTCTGAGGGAGAAAGGAGAGGTTTTTACACCACTTGAAAACCACCATATTGAATCACAATCCAATGCACTTCTTTGCAACGATCAAACTTCCATTTATTCCTGAACTCATGCATATAAGAGAGGCTTATGAAGTCTTACTAGCATACCTAAAGACAGACTATGAGGAAAAATGATCTGAGCATTGAGAAACTCAGCTTTTATTTCACCTGTATGTCAAAAATACCTTAAGCAACCACGTGCATTGTCATACTGGAAGTTTGTCCTCTGGAAAGAGACCACATACAAAAAGTTTCAAGTGAAAACACAATTTGTATATGGAGCTTGAAATGAATGTGAGACAATTTAGTTTGTAATTGAAATCACACAGTGTTTCCTGAAAGGAGCTACTAAAACTCCACTTTTACCGGAATTCTTGAAAATTTATTTCTTTTCTTTGTAGAAGGAATAAAACTTCTAGGGCATCATTTCTGTTTGCACATTTATCGTTAATCTCTTTTCCTCTTACCGAATTTACTTCCCCCAAATTTAGGAAAAGGGAAGAGTTATTGCTTCACACGTATTTTCAGAAAAATTAACTTTGATAATAAACAGTTTTTTCCCTTTTCACCATTTTCTTTAAGAATACATACCAAAACACTCGAGTGTCTGCAGTAAAGGAAGGCCATATATTTGTTTTCAGGGGTAGTCAATTAGAATCAGAAAACAGACATTCCAACTGCTGCTTACACTTCTGCAAAGCAAATATACTCCAGAAACATCTTGGCTAAAAAACTTTCTCTTTTTGGTGCATATAAAGCTTCAATACTGCATGGAAAAATATGCCTTTTTTTTAAAACTAAATGTGTAAATAGTCATTTATTAGTAACTCAGGCACACTAAAAAGAGTCACTTAACTTGCAGCAGGACACAGTAATGAAGCATTGTTGGGAGTTACAAACCAGGATTTTTAGCTATTTGGTTTTGGGTGTGGGGATCTTTTTTTTTAGTTACTATCTTTTATTAAAATCACATCTTCAAATTCTTAAAATGCAAAATCCTTATTGTAATAAATCCTTTGTGTAATCCATAGCGTTTAAAAAATCCTTATCCAACAAATCCATTAAAGACTTATTTCCACTACTTCCCTCCCATTTAGAAGCCTAAGCACACAAAGAACTTTTTAATAAGGCTGAAAAAGAAAGCAATATCCCATCAGTTTTAGAATAAGTGTAACACTAACTGTGAAGTAATAATGGAATTCCACCTTAGGGTGTAACTAAGAATAGACTTCCCTCGCTCCTGCCATCAAAAGCATACACGCAATGCTTAAAAGGGTAAAGGCACAGTAAAGATGACCAAATACAATCCCAAGCTCCAGAACACACAGTAGAGATGCTGCTGTGTGCCAGCTCCATTCTTCATAAATAATAAAATACCAAAACCCCATAAACGTGGATGGTACTGTGAGATAGGGTGCTCAGCAGTGCCAACACACAGTGCTTGTGGCATTTCTGTAGGCCAGTTCATCTCAACAGAGGAAAGCAGTTTTCCAATAGTTCCTCCATACTCATACAGCTAACCTCCTGATTGTTTCCTTTAACAAACCAAAACCTAAGAATTCTGTCCTAGGAAAACAAATATCCTGTTTAGTGCTTTCCCCACCTTCCAACCTATGCACACACCCAGCAATTTTTCTTTAATTTCTGCTCTGCACCAGTGCTCCTCTTCAGCCTCCTAAGAGGCAAAAACAATTTAAATTATTAAATTAAGAGCTTAGTTCTCAAATGGCAGCAAAATAGCCCAGCCAAAACCAGAGTCACACTCGACAGCACGAAGCCAGAAACACTACATATTTCACACGCTTGCTGCACAGAGCTCTTAAGGTTACTGAAAAATGTGTTAGCTGGTGTTAACATGCACAGAACTTCAAACATGCTGTTCACTTTTCTGCCAGAAATCCTTTTATAAACTTTACATTGATAAAACATCAATCACTATAAACAGCTTGAGCCACGACAGAGGAGT